AGCCATGACGGTGCAGCATGTAATCTCGATACGTTGACCACTATGTCACATTGCCACGAGTTCCCTTGGCACACAAGGCAGATATGAATCTCAAGGACGGCCAAGCATTTTTCATTATCATATTCTTTTGGGGGATTGCAGATGAGGCAAACTTATATTTGCAATGAAAATCGACTATATTAATTATTTTTCGTTTATTGGTAGGGTCTTAAGACTATCAGTAAATCAGTTATATGAGGTTTATTCACCCTATTACGCAGAAAAATTGAACTACCAGACCTTTATCCCCTTAAACGGAATAGGGTTAATATATCTCATATAAATGATTTACTGGTAGTCTCGAAAATCTACTTACATAAGAAAAGTGAGTAACGTAGTCGATTGTTATAGCAAAAATACGTTTGCATCATCGACAATCCCACCAAAGAATGTGATATGGGAAAAGGCATGGCCTTCCTTGAAATTCACATCTGCTTTGTGACCCAAAGGCATTCGTGGAAATGTGGCAGAATTCTTAACGTGTTAAGCTCACATTCTCCACTGTCACGGTTGGACTCCCGCTAGGGGTTTTGATAAGACGTATGCGAGGTCGGAACTGCAGTCCAGCCTGGATTAGAACAACTTTTGCGAAAGCAAGGCTATGTGAAATTCAATGGAAATGTCAGCTCTACTCATATAATTGTGGAAAAATTCTACTAACAGTCCTTCATCGTCTTAAACGAAATAGGCTGAATATAACTCCTATTTTAAATACACTTGCTCAGTCTAGGTCCTATTTTTCCATCGCCTGCTCGTAAGAAAATTGCCCTATTGTGGATAAAATTCCTCGCTAAGGCCTTACCGGGCTATTATTAAATCAGGAACTTAATTTATTTGGGAACGACTACATGTCGTCATGAATGATTCATTTTAGACAGATTTCGCCCATCCTGGCCACCCATTTCTCGTGAAGAATAATGGTCGAACACTTTTGTAGACATATTTATTTCATACTTAGTTAAAATAATCCTTGTCTCAGTGATTTGTGCTTATAAAAAAGACTAAATTAATGTATGCCCTTTTGGCATGCTATCTCTATTCATACCTTGAAGTATCTTGATGGCTTGTGGAGACACTTGACATGATATTACTAATTTGTGTTTTTTGAAGCGATTTAATTTATTAATGAATTACAAGGTAGATATGTAAACAATTTTAGGCAGATGGAAACTAGGATTTTCTTTATCTGGGCATTTATTCATACATCAACTATCCCATGTCCTTAGTCATCCTGAGGATTTCCTAAAATTACAGAAAGTGACAGACAATATGTCAAAATGGGCATCAGACGTAATTAAAAAAAGGCACCAGAAGAAGCCAAATAAATATCTGATCTAAAGACAGCCCAAAGTCAAACCATCCGGCAAACATAAAAATTGCCTCTAGAAGGATGGATCTTACAGTCCAGGCAAGAAATGAAGATAAAGTAGTGAATTTGTCTTTCGTCCCTCTTGACCTAGAAGCCACAGAGATTCGAAAGTAGGGAAAAAATTCTGCACTTCGAAATGAAAGGAAGTCTAGTTGATGGATACCTCTGTGAAGCTACTTGAAGCAGAGAGAGAGAGAGAGAGAGCTGGAAATGGAAATCATCCAAACAATCTTGGCGCATCAAAAACCTATGGATAGGAACCATATAACCAAGGTATATAGACAATTGAGAAGAAACGATCAAATAGTCCTACACGCTGACAAAGAAGATGCCACATTGGTGATGAACGGGAAGGAATATACAGAGAAAATTGAAAATATTATCGAGGACTCTACAACTTATCGACTACTGGCAAAAGACCTAGCAATAAAGGTAAAAGGGGTACTGCAAGAAATGCTGAAGGAAATGAATATGAACGAGGAAATCGACAAATGGACAAAAAGTTTACTTATACGAAAGCATGCAATAGTCAAAATTTCATACGGTTTGCCGAAAGTACACAAAGAGGAAGAATCGTTGGGACTGATAGTGCACAAAAATCACGGAGCAACACATAAATTGAAAAAATTTATTAGCATCAAGTTAAAAAAGGTGCATAACAGATTATCGAATACAGTAAATAATTCATACGAATTTTTCAAAACATTCAAAGGCAGACATTTGTAGGGAAACGAAGTATTGGTTAGCTTTGATGTACAATTAATGTACACCAACATTTTAGGATAATAAGCACTTACGGAACCACTGAAGGATCTTTCAAAAAGAAGACGACATGCTTGAGATGGAGCGAATCCGATTATCAACCTAACAATAAGAACCAGATATTTCATATGCAACTATGAACAAATATTTGGTCTTGTGACATGACTTTTCATTTCGAAGGAAAAGTTAGTTGGAAGGAATTCGTGATATAATCTCACCGGAAAACGAAGTAGGATTTCCGCGTAAGGAAGACGGTTGAATTGTGCGAAGAAGTCCTTGGCTCACCGTCCTGCGACACTGATGCTTTCTTATGTATTATGACAGATATCATCAATGCAGCTATCCATGTTTCATGAAATAGAGCAAAAATATACTAACCCAAGAGAAAAGTTCGTCGGCTGCAACACTAATCGCTTTTTTTATACGCCTAACTTTTCTCTTAGTTTAGTGTACTTGTGCTCTATTTCGTGAAGTATGGATAACTGCTCTGCTGATGCCTGTCACAATACAGACGAAATCTTTGCACAATTTCATCGGTGTCGCAGGAGAGTGAGCCGAGGATTCCTTTGTAAAATTCAACAGTCTTCCTTACGTAGCAATCCTCCTACGGTTTCCAGTAAGACCACGTTACAAATTCCTTCCAACAAACTTTTCCTTCGAAATGAAAAGTAATGTCCCAATATGTCATCAAGTACCCCAAGTACCCCCTCATCAAGTACCCCCCCAAAAGTAGATAAAATGCTAGTTAGGTTATTAAAGCATTTGAACAGATTGAGAAATGCATTGAAAAAACCATCCTTAAGACCCCGAAGGGTCATCATCGCGAGGCTTCCTAGAGTTGTTTACCCGTGCAAACGTATTCTGGGAATTAGTTCACAGGCAAAGTGATTTTTTGATTCC